AGAGGAATATAAATTCTGAGCTTTTGCCTCTCTGGTCATCGCTGCAAGGCTGGTAAATGGGAAGAGAACTGCAGTGTCATCTGGTCCATCTTAATGAGAATGTAGCAGAAGGATTAAGAATTTGCTTCTTGAAGTTTCTTAGTGACTACAGAAAATACGTCAATGACTCATTTTTAGATGTCTCCTCCTGAAAGGCTCTTGACAATGACAAAACATGAAGACGTTTCCAGTTTCAAGGCCAGTCTACTTCAGTAGGTCAGGGCTGACCAATGTCCCAGCTAGGGCATGTAGATCTGCTCTACCTTCCACTGGGCTCACACCAGCTGCTGATGGTGATGGAAAACACAGCCACAGATTTCCTCTAGCTGGGAGGCTGGTAGTCACCACAGCAAAGGCTATTAATTTCTGATGGTGTTCAGGACATGAGTCATGCAGTGCTTCCTTTTTGACTCATATTTTACTTTAGCAACTTAGTAGCAAAAGTGGAAAAAAAAGTGAAAAAAATACATATGTGCTGAGATGTGACATTCTGTCCCCCTCCACAAAGAGCGGCTCAACCAACTGAATATAGATGCTTGGTGTAGGGTGAGCTGAGTTGCTGCCTGGAAGCCTCTGGCTCATGGAAGGGCTTCGTTTGGTTGCTTACACAGAGGTGCCCTTTGCTATTGGACATTGGTTATGTCACACATCGTAAGTGGGACTCATGTCCGCTGCAGAGGCGCCTGGATGCCCTCATGATACCCCAAGATCTCCCAGTGATGCTAGATAACTAAAAGTGAACAGCTGAACAACATTCCTATATTGCAGACAGTCATATTCACATATTTGAATTGGGAGCTGAAGTTAGATTTAAGACAGAAATGCTTTAATTTATGTGGGAAATGTGAAGGCAGAAATAGCTGTGAGGTGGCAAATTGAAGTTGTCCATTTCTTCCAGTCTCTGACTCTCCCATTCTCTGAAATCCCTGCAAATCCTGTGCTTCAGGGGAAAAAGCAACTCTGGGATGTTACTGGTGGCTTGAAAGGAAAACAATAGCAAAATAACAGTCAAAATCATTGAATGAAGGAAAGTATTTTATCAACCTGTAACCAGCTTCTCTCCTTCTTTCCTCTGCCTATGCTTCATCTTCCACAGCGTAGTGCTGTTTTTATTTATTTATTTTTTATTTATTTCTTTTTTTTGTATATATTAAGCCAGTATAAATGATAAAGGCCTCTGTCCTGCCCATTACCAAATGGTAGATAAGATCTCAGTGTGCTCAGGTAGTCACTGAACTATTAGCGCCATCATTTTGCAGGCAGTAATAATTACAGAACAGCAAGAAATGCAGTAATTCATGTATTTCATTAGGCCTGCTTGAGCTGTCTTGTCTACTGCAATATGTGTTCTGGTAATTTTTTTCTTTAAAGCAATAAAAGGGTTTTGTGCTTCTTGTAGTCCTTACTCAGATGTGTGCAGGTCTCACAAGACCACAAAGATATGCTTTTGGTCACATATTGGTTTTGATCTTATGTGATACATTAGCTAAGCTGGGATCTCTGCATGAGCCACCACTTTAGACCCCAGCTGTGATCTTTCTCTTAGAATTTCAGCAGTGAAGGTGCAAATACTGTAGAATCATAGAATCCTAGAACCATAGAATGCTTAAGGTTGGAAGGGACCTCTAGAGGTCATCTAGTCCAACCCCCCTGCACACGCAGGGTCACCTAGAGCACGTGGCACAGGACTGTGTCCAAGTGGGTTTGGAAGATCTCCAGAGAAGGAGACTCCACAACCTCTCTGGGCAGCCTGATCAGGGAAGAACACATGTACCTGCAGGACCTGCTGCTTGGAGCTGCACCTATAGGCAGGGACTTTCTGCTACCTCCACATTTGTCACAGAGATTGCTGTTGCAAGGTGTGCCCAATAATCCCTGGGCAAAGATGCCTTTCCTGTGGAAATGACATTGCATGAGCAGTGAAGGGCATGGTAGGGAAGGGGCTGAGCCTGGGCCTCTCCCAAGGAACGGGCACAGCCTAATCCCAAACTGCTGGCTGCAGCCTAACCAACCTGCCAAGAAGCTATGAGCCAAGGAACCTCCTTTGAAGGCACCTCAGGTGCAGGAGGGTTGGAGACAGGGCTGCTACTCATTGGTGGCTCCTCCTCAACCCGAGTCATACACCAGCCTGGATTTTAGTATTGTGAATGCCAACAAGGAGGAATTCGTTCATCTCATTCGTAGAGTGGAACAGCAAGACAGGGGAAGAAGCAGTTGGATGCTGAGGCCTCCCAGACCTTGAGCTGAAGCAGGCAGTGATGAAAGTTGGACACTGATGCTGTGCTGGGATATCATGGGACTATAGAACAGGATTAGCAAGTAAATAACCCAACCTGTCGAGCTTCGTCATTTTTGCTTTTCGGATGAGGGTGAAGGAAAAAAAAAAAAAAAGACAATGAAGGTGCCAGGTTTAGCCAAGGCAACAAACATCTCTGTGAGCATCTGGGTTCCTGCTCATTTCCGTGCGCGTGTTTGACTTTCAGCCCTCGTTGGCTCCTATCTCTCCAAATCGCTTTCACCACAGGAAAACGCTTGCTGCTTACCACGTCATTCTCACCGCACCGCAGACCCGGTTCAGAGGGTTTTCACGCGCGCTCGCAGCGGCTCGTACCCACTTCTCCCCCCCATCATCAGTGGGTTCCTCTGTTCTTCTAGCTGATGACACCTTGCAGGGGGAAACAGGCACCTCCTCTTGTGGTTTGCATCAAATGCAATGCAATAAGCTCAGTGCCGTATCTGCTTTTGTAGTTACTCCAACGTGTGCACCCGTACAAGCCGTTCTCACTGGCACTGAGATATGAGGGTAGCACACCTCTCAGCTCACTCCAAATGCCTAGAAATGCTATCTCTGGTCTGAGTCAGGCCACCCAGGCTCCTTCTGTAGTGTGTGAACACAGTCAGGCTCTTGCTGGGCTTGGTGGAACCATCCTTGACTAGGTGTTCAAGGAGGATGGCCCAAATCGTCTTTTACCTGTGATTGGCCATCTCCCCACATCTGGCTCTGCAAGCACTTGGAGATGGTAAACCGCTTATTACAAATATTTCTGAGACTAAAAAGGAACATTTTACTCTTTTCTTGGACAGCTTTGCAGAATGTCAAATTATTCCTTCAGGTACTAACTTGTCGTGGATGAAAGCTACAGAGATCCAGAGATTTCAACAGAACTAAACACAGTCAAATCCATGGACAGCTTGGTCCTGCAAAACATTCTGTGGAAAAATGTAGATAGCATTTGGCATTCGAACTGCTCCTGAAGTCACAGAATAGATGCAGTTGATGATCTTTTCTATTTATGGGTTTAAATTCCTTTGGGGAACATCCTCAAAAAAGCACATAATAGTTTTAACCATTTTTCCTTGCACCTTTGATCTCTGTTAATCACTTTGATGCTCATTTTCCAATTGTACACAACATTTTATTAAACTGTACAAACAGCATTGACATTTAAAAAATTCACATTAACTCTTCCAATTAAACATGATGACCAGCTGCACAGACTGTAAGCGCAAATCCCCCCTGTATTTCCTACAGCACAAGGAGTGATTTCACAAAAATTTCTGGGCTAACTCTGCTGGGGAAATCTTTTTTAAGGGCAATCAGTTTTTCTTGTTAACTTTAGGCAATTCTGCTTTTGGCCCTGTAGGATTTGGTGTCTACAGCCACCGACAGCAACATCCAGGCAGTGATTGCACAGCCTGCAAGTCAGGATTTCATCCCGTGGGGAGGTCCATGTTAACAGGCTCCCTGCGCAGCCCATGGAAGGCAGAAAGGCACCTTCAAAGGCTTTCTGATTTCCTGATGGGTCATTCTTTAGAGATTCTGTTCTCCACAGACTGGAGGAGTTCATGCAACAAAGCTCTGAACTGGCACACTTCAGTTAGAGCCTAACATCAGCCAGAGAGTCCACCCAAATTGAATTATTACAGAATCTTTTGATTTGGGCTCTTTGGGGGGTTGGTTTTTGACCCAACATTTACCTAGTCAGGGAAAAGCAGTAACTGGGTGTTTCCAGATCTCTCCAGCCTCAGTGCATCTTTATTTAAGAGGATACCACTATGAAAGGATCACAACTAAGATTGTTTTGTTTGTTTGTCTGCTGATCTACATTTCCACAGACTGCAAAGACAGCAAAATATCATGAGGTGGAAGGAGAGGGTTAAGCTCATACAATGTGCTGTCCTGCTCTGTGACTGCTGGATGCCACTTGTCTTGTCTGCGTTGCATGCCAAAATGTTGGTACATCATTTAGAGCAATACAAAGTATATCAGCTGTTGGAAGGACTGATTACCTCCTTCCAAGTAAAACAGGCCAGTGAAATGACAGGAAGGTCAATCTTATGATGTAGGTCAATTTTGAACAATGATTTAAGGAAACCTCTTCCTCCTTTCTGATGCAGTTTTAGGATAAAACCACAGAAAGCCTGATCCAACTTTTACTCTGAGAAATTCTGCTCATGTGAACAAAAGTGGAGGTTTCGAAGCCAATGTGAAATCTCCCCAGATGCCTTCAGGTCTTGAGCTCATCCCTCATCCTGCAGAAAGAGGTGGGAATTGCAGGAATAAACACCAAAATCCCTGGAAGTTGGAATATGTTTAGTTTGACTGACAGGGAAACCCACTAGCTGTTCATAAAAGTAAAGTGGAATGGGCTTTGCCATCTCCTCTTTTTCAAATGCTCTCAATTACAAAAACACTCAGAAAAGAGAGAAGAGAGACCAAAAGATACATGAAGAGGCTTTGTCGTTAGTGAACAGTGGTTGGCATCTGCTACAGACTGGAACAAGCTGAAAGGCTCCAGGTACAGTACAAGTTTCAGCTGACGTGTTTTTCTGGTGAGTCCTTGGTAAAATCCACCATGTACAGTCTTCAGTTGACAGTGTTACTCAAGTTGTTACAGAGAATTCCTTTAGCAAAGAAAGCCCTCGGTAAGGCAGATCTCAGGAAAATATCTTCTCCATTTTAGGGTTCACAAAAGAAAAGTTGCTGAACATATTTTGGTCCATGCTGTTAATCAGTGTTCTGTCAGCACAGGACAGTCTGGGTTTTTCATTTAGGAATTCCTTGTCGAAATTGCTACAGTCACTTGGAGATTTCTTCAAGAGAAGGAAACAAAGAAAAAGAAGAATTAATCCACTATTATCCAAGTCTCCATTAAAAAGGTACTGGTCATCACAAGCAGTTTCCTCTGAACTCAGGCACATATATGACTGACCAAGGCT